TACTTATTGAAATCAAAAAACGACGGCACAAACTAACTAAATCAATATCCTCAAATGAAGGTTAGTGACATCAAATTCCGATTATTTTGTTTATACAAACACAATCTCCATATGGCTTAAACATGGACTCGAAGTTTTCATCAGCAAAATATATTTTAGGTGATTTTGGAAAAAGACCAAAAGACCTATAATTGCATATTACTCATTTTTTGTTACAATGGCCCTGCTTGAAAAGCATATATTTTCTTAAGACCAATAAATGTTGACAATGTGTAAAACTACGCAATAACTCAATTTCGATATCACTGAAGCAAACTGGAACAAGAGGACTGAGACTGAATTTGTAATCATTTTTTCTGTGAAACTTTCAGAGTTGATTTTGGGCTTTGATATCTATCATTGGAGTGTTTTCGATGTCAACATTATGAATTGAGAGATAATATGCCATTATGAGAGTCGTGTACACATACCGAATATCCTCCTTCAAATATCGAATGCATTCGATCTATTCGGTTCAGCGGCTTATAATACATTCAAAATGCGTTCAACACATTCCGACGAAGTTTCAGCAACTCATAGTCAATTCTGAGATAAGCGTTTGTTTGTGCATGGAATGAAATTTTGATTGCTTTTATTTAATTACCAGATGTGGAATTGTATTCCGGCAACCTCAAGGAAGCGATAAAAAAGGAAACCGATTTCCTACCAGGAGGACCACATCAATCAAGACTGAAAACAGACGATTTTTTCACAAATTTGGATTTTTACCATGGAAAACAAAAATCTTTGAAAAAGTGTCAGCGACGAAAACCGAAAGAAGATCAWCGTGATGCAACACCGATGACAAAAATTTCTGAAGTTTTTGTTGGCAAAAACGACGACAACCCAAAATTAATTTTGATTTCAGGCGAAGCTGGTATTGGAAAAACGCTGTTTTCGTACAAAATATTGAGAGAGTGGTCAACGAATTGCATATCGATGCCTAATGTAAAGTTCACGTACCTGATAACGTTCAGGCAACTTAATCTCCTTGGMAAGGAAACGCTTACTCTCAGAAAATTACTCAACCTCTCCCCTTTACTGGGCACAACAACCATGATAGACAAAACGTTGATGAACTACATCATTCAGCATCCSGAGCAGTTATTTGTTGTTCTCGATGGATTTGATGAATACCAAGACTACATCAAATTAATCGGAGACAGTCATTCCAAATATGAAAATRATGTTAAGATRAAGATGCCAGTACCTGTTCTGATCAGTAAACTAATCCAAAAGAAAATCTTGAGGGATTCCGTCATCATGATAACGTCAAGACCGGGCGAAGTCAACGAGTTGKACTTTGACAGATATGTGCAAATTWCAGGGTTTTCAGAACCACAAATCATTGAATTTGTTGAGAAGTATTTTAACTCCAAACCAGACGAAGAAAAAAAGATGGCGGTCGACAAAGTCAAAGGAATTCCACAATACACGCTGTTTGGTTWCGTCCCTTTGAGGTGTTTCTTCATGTGCTCGCTCATCGAGAGGGAAATCGAAAATAAGTTTACTAAAGAGAGTACAGTTCCTATTACTGTTACAGAGTTTTATTTCAAAGTTATCCGCTGTTTAGAAAGTAGYAATAAAGAAATCCGTAAATTRSAAGATAAGGAAGAGCAAAGGTTGGCTGTWGAAAAAAMCCTCGATAATTTTGCCAAAATAGCTGCAAAATTAAATGAAGAAAATAGATATACTTTCAAGCAAAAAGATTTRAAGAAGTTGAACTTAACAGRAGACGAAATRTCTTACCTTAAGGCGAGTGCCTTAATTTTTYGTCATCCTGWTGCCAGTGATTCTACTTACCCACAAACAACTTTTGAATATGAATTTACTCATACAACTATTCAAGAGTTTTTAGTAGCTCGCCATTTGGTGAGTATGGATGTGGTGGCGGTCCCATCYCATGTCACTGACATGATCTGCAYATTTCTAAGTGGTTTGTTGGGTTTGGATAAGAAAAACAATCATGATAAATTTATGATGRAAATATTAGATTGTGTATCTAAMAGAGATATGAAGGGTGAATGGAAACGACGCGTCAAGTTATTACGGTGCYTGTACGAGTACGGCCAAGAAAAAGAATTCACAAGACAACAGCTGACTAGAAACTCCGACAAYAGGTACTGGTACGATAATAATGGATGGATTGTATTAGATGATGTAACCGACACTGACTGTGGTGCAATGGGGATGTTAGTAGAGCTAACTGCTACAGCAATATCATCACCACCAAGGGGATTGTACATTAATGAGTCATCSTTAACTAGATCTGGTTTAAACGATTTGCTGCCATCTCTCAAACAAGCKTGCAATATCACTACAYTGGAGATGTGGTTTTGTCAGCTAGATGACAATTGCGCAGACTGCCTGAGTRAATTTTTGCCAAAAACAATGTTAACTTCGCTACATCTTCCATGCAATAATATAACAGATACTGGAGTAAATTACCTCGTTAAGAACTTGCCCAGTAATCTAACCGTATTACACCTGGCACATAATAAAATATCTGATACTGGAGCAAGCTGTATCGTGAATAACTTGCCAAGTAAGCTAACCAAGCTGGACCTGTCATATAATCAAGTAACTGATGGATGTAGAAAGAACATTGAACAATTCTGTAAATTTAGTCACCCTCATGATCTTGACATCGACATATAGATCGATCGTCCATCTTTAATTTTACTTGTAGATTCAGTGGCGGATCCAGATACAAAGGGGGTGGCTTACTCAAGAAAAAATATTAAACGGAAAGATTTATGATTAAGGAAAAATAATTTTTTTTGGAAGAACACTGATGTAGTTGTTTTTCAGAGAGTTATTTTCCTTCTTTTTTATGCTTATTTTTTAACTTCTAATTCCGTTTATTTTTGAATCCTAAAAAGAGGATGGCTAGGCACCCTAATTACCCCTCTGGTTCCGCCCTTGAGCTTAACTGTTCTTTTAGATATCGCTATACTATGTAAATACATCCAATAATCATGTAATTAAAAAACACACATCAATATTAAATACTCATTATTGCCTTTTCCAGTATTTAAAAAATTTTTAATAATAAGACGACAGATTTGAGTTTATAACAAGACATGTTTCGGCATCCTTATGCCATCTTCAGTTGTATAAGATAATTTTATTTTGAAGAGCTTCTATTTACACTAGTTAAGTCTAGAAATGATATATGAGATAACAAAGATAACTGAAGATGGCATAWGGAWGCCGAAACATGTCTKGTTATAAACTCAAATCTGTCGTTTTATTATTCAAAATTTTAACGTCATTTTGTTGTGCTCTTACGATTATTTAACAAATGCTATTTAACGAGACATAGAGACAAAGCTTTTTTCGAGCGAAAAATAATTTTTTGCCAATAAGCCGTCTCTGTCCTCTGATTAAACACGGTCGTCAGCCAAGCGCGCGTTATATATCAAAACATTTATAAATCAAAATTAAAAATAGATTCCAGTTCYATTWCGTGCGACCGTGCTCTAATAAATACACARTCGACGTCAAATAACGAGGACAAAATATACAGCACGAGCCGAAGTCGATTGGCGTGACATTTGTTCTTATAATATTTTGACGTCTTCTGTTTATCTATTACAGTAAAAAAATAGAATCTAATTTATGCGATTTTTTTTTAAATCTGTTTTGTTTTAAGTTACACTCCCGCACAAATATGTCATCCAGTTTTTTGTTGTAGAATACTCCATTTTAGAATTCAAAGCGAATAACTGCTGTTTTATTTGACAGCAGATTCTCCTACGCAAAGACATTATAATCACAAAAAGAAAGCACGTTATAAAATGTTGTAAGTACAATAGCGCTAACAATTTACATTTTCTCCGAGTTGAGGCTTATCCTGTATTCCCAAAAGGCTTACTCCTTAGATTTCATAGGAATACAGAATTAAGTGCCGTTTACACGAGCAATTTTTCCTTGACAAGTTTCTTGACAAGGAAAAATTGTTCGTGTAAATGGTCAACAAGTTTTCCTTGACAATGTTTCTTTTGCTCGTGTAAAGGAAGAACAAGTTTTCCTTGACAAGGAAAAATTGCCCGTGTGAATGGTCAACAAATTTTCCTTGACAATTTTTCCTTGACACATTTTCCTTTTTGTCCATTTACACGAGCAAATTTCGTCCTTGACAATTTTTCCTTGTAAAGGAAAAGCGAACATGTTGGCTTTTCCTTGACAAGGAAAAATTGTCAATTTTACCCCATTTACACGGGCAATTTTTCCTTGGGCAAGGAAAATTTGTCAAGGAAAAATTGCTCGTGTAAACGGCGCTTTAGTCTCAACTGGGAGAAAATGCAAATTTTCAAGACTATTGTAATAAGAGATTTAATTAAACTTATTTTATATTCACACTTCGTACAACAAGCCGAGCAGTCTACTACAGCAAGAGACGTGATATTTATTTTTCGGAAGAAAACGATATAAAAGTTGTCAATTTTGCATTGACAGCTCGTTTTCGCCATATATCAGATTCTAAAAACCTGTACCAAATCAAGCTGCCAATGGCAACACAGCTCGGAGATTGTAGGGTGATTTTGAGAAAAAAAATCAACAGAATATGAAACTGAAAAGTGTACCACAGAGCTTATCATGATCAGCTAAAACATTGTATTGCTGTAGTATCATCAACAAACCTACGATCGCAGTCAGTCTTCGCCGGCAAATTCGGCTACAAAAATCGTTTCTCTATCCATCCAAATTTTCTAACTTTCTTCAAAATGACTAAGTACGATGTACTCCAAGTAAGTCAAGTAAATTTTCCCGAAAATTGTCTCTTCGACCAGCTTTAGACATGTTTTGAGACGTTATATTTCCCCGGTTATTTCTTGTTCTTGGTCCGCCATTTTAAGAGCCAGCGATTTTTTTCAGCGGATTTCGAGAGCCTGCGATTTTTTTTCAGCGGCTATCTTTAAAAGTTAACAGGAAAGTGAGTGAGTGACACATCGTCCCCCTACAATAACTCTTCGATTGCTTACGCAATCTCTGAGTTAAAAAGGAAATATGAAGATAGCTAGAAAGTGGAAAAAGGTGAGTTTCTTAGTAAAGAAAAATTATTAAAAGGATAGATTTATGGTGGCTAGGAACCCTAATTGCACCTGTGGATTCTTCCTTGAGCTTAGCTTTTTTTGTAGACATTACTACACCATGTAAATACATCAATTAATCATGATAATAAAATAAACACATCAAACTATTAAATATTCATGGTATTTCCTAATTCGATTGTATAGACACAGAAAATATTTTGTTCTGTTTTATAGTAAGATGACTTGGAACTTATGTTGCTGCACTATAGACTCTAAGTCGAGGTTCAAGAGTGGAATCACCAGTATCACAAAGCTATATTGAAACTAGACGCCCCTGGGGCGTGAAGTCGGACTAGCTGTTTTTGAAAATTGATAGACACGAGTGAAAAGATTATGATGTTATATTTTGTCTAATCATATGATATTATGAATGTAAATGAACCTTGAGAAAGACAGCAGGATATTACATAAAATATAAAAATTAGATTAAAATATATATTTCTTAATTTTTCTCCAAAAAAGCCGAACTCACGGTCTAATAAGAGCGTCTAGTTCAAAATATCCAAACTCTCTTGAGACTAAAATAACTGAACTTGACCTGAAATGTCATGTAATTAATACATCTATGAACGTTTTAAATGAGTCCTTGCTTTGATTGATAAAATCAAACATGGTATGTGGATAAACTGTGACACTAAGATAACGTTGACCTCTCAGGCCAAGAAAATACTTTACAAAGTAAATGATACTATAAAATCATTAAACTCGCCTTTTTGTTATTGAACTAGGCTCAGACAAATGTCTCAAGTGTCTCAAATGTCTCAAGTGATATCATGATGACCTCTC